CTCTGTTTGCCTTAGTTTCCTTAACAATAAAATGGAGTGGCACAGTACTGTTGTGAGGATCAAATAAGCTAATGTTTGTAAAAGCACTTAGCACAGTGCGTGCACTGTATAAATGTTTATTCCCTTCCCCTTCTCTTGATGAATATTGTTTCAGGAGAAGATCCCCATTCTACTTACCTATTTCTTACCTGTGAAGTACTTCACCTGAGTATGTAACCATCAAACTTAATAGCCTCTCTTTAGGTGACCAGTTCGGCTATTTGAGCAAAACTCTATGGAGGGCCACCTCAAAGGTTTGATCCCCATATGTACCAGCTGACTGAATGTCATTCTCTGCTCACAAACAACAACCCTAATTTTGGTACTCTTAACATGAAGCCTATATTGATACTCAGATCAACAAACCCTCTGCAATCCAAGCTCCTTTTAATAAAAACAGTCTATGTACTAAGGAGGTGGGAGAAGATCCAGTTTCATCTGCACTGGATCAGTGCTGTCAGGGGCTGAAGATGGTAGAGGAGGAGACTGCTGTCACAAGAGAACCATCACAGGCATACCTGGGCCTGGCTAGGTGAGGATGAACTCCTGGGGCTCTCATAGAGGCCATTTGTCAATGAAGTGGGCCAATAGTAACTCTATAATATTGTCTGTAGGAGAAATGGGGCAACTAACAGGGTCATGGAGCCATAGCTTGACTTTCTTAGGTAGAAGGGAAGGAGAAAGCGCCCCTCTGCAGAATAGTGAGAAAGAATCTCAAGTCCTGGAATGCAGCCCTAGACCTCCCATGTTATTGCTATTTCTGGTGACAAAATTTCTGACACAGAAATAGGTCACCGGAATGCATAGTCTTCTCATTGATAGAAATATTACATCATTCTCATTTTTATGAATTATAACCACACATTTTTATACTGGATATATGATTTCATCAATGTAGAGAGCCCAATGGGTACAGCAGCACTTTCTCTGCAACTCAGATTCTTAAATTATTAAGAATTCCCAGGGGGATGAGATCACCATCAATCCTGACAGACTGCTTGATTTGCCTAGAACCATACAGCCAGTTATGTTGTCAAAAATGAGCCCTGAGTATAGATCTTCCCAATACTGAAGGCAGCTCTCTATCCACTCACTATGCCACACTACTTTTCAGAGCCACTTCAGAGAGAATTTAGTTTTAATATGTCATTAGTTCTGATCCCTTGATTTGTGGCATACAGTGCTACGGTTGATCCCATCAACATTGGACCAAAAATAGATAATTAACTGCAAAATAATATAATCTAAACAAATATTTTGCTTTGGGAACCATTGTAGGATTGAAAGATCAATTGGATAGCCATGTAATAGCATAGCTTTCAAAATCAAAATAATGATAATACATACCATTTGTGTAGTACCTACCATGTATGAGGCGTTGTACAAAACATCTCATTTGTTCACCACAATAACTCTGAGAGGAAAGTGCTATTATTATCCCCACTTTACAGATGAGGAAGCTGAAGTAAACAGAGATTAAATGTCTTGGTCAAGGTCACACAGCTAGTAAGTGTCTGAGGTCACATTTGAATTCAGGTCTTTCTGACTCCAGGCTCAGCACTTTATCTACTGGGAGTCAACTAGCTGCCTCCCCTCCACCAAAAAAAAAAAGCTTTAGGAAAAAAAATCCATACCTTTGTTTAAAAACTTAAATGAGTTTAAGAGAAGGTAAGACATAAATGAAAATATATAAGACTTTCCCAAACCTCAAAAGTAACAAGCAAAGTTAGGCTCCCAACTTTCTTACAAGTCATACCTTGTGGCAGATTCTGGGTAGTTTTTTGGTGATGCAAGCAAATGACAGATTGGCTGAGACTCAAACTTGCCCTTGTAACCAGGAAAGGATACTGAAAAAACACTCAGGATGTGAGATACCTCATAGCTAGTACTTGCCTTGCCACTAACTAGTTCTGTAACCTTGGATATGTCACTCATCTAGAAAATGAGGTTACCCATCTCTATGGTCCTTCCAACATCCAATAATCTGCCATTCCATGAAATAAGATACTTTGGTATCCCAATCATTGCTGATCCTTGCCTTTTTTGATTGAGTCACATAGCTTAACATTCAGAAAAATCAAGATTATAAATGTATATGTCTCTTCAATGTGGGCCAAGTTTGTGACAATCCATAAATTGAGGGGGCCAAGTGAGGGAGTTAGATTAGACTGCTTCAAAAGTCCCTACCAGTCCTAGATCTAGAGTTCTATGATCCAATGAAAATTTGTGAATCTTTGTGAAATCAAATGGGTTTATATTACTTTCCTATCCTTTCTTAGACATGTTAAATGTATTTGACTATATTCGTCTGACCTTTAAAAAGGCAACACAAGGATAAATAGAGGACAAACCATTCCTTAAACCTTCTGAAAACCTTTAATAGTAATGGGGCTGAATTCTGCTGCATTACATCATAGAAATGAAAAGAAAACATTAAGGTTTTCAAACAAGAACAGGCCTTCTATAAGTAAAATGCGATATCATTTACATTCTAAAAACTGAACATTTTAACTGGTGGCAATTCAGATTTTAATAGGGCAGTTTCTATAGAAGACCAGAGACCTGAATTTCTACCCAAAAAGCTGCCATTTGGGGTTCTGCAACTTTCCTGCTAGTCTCCCCTATCTCATGTGTTTGATCTACTCCCAGAAGACAGGAAGCACTTGTTTGGGCGATAGGAAAACTGTGTTTCCTAATCCTGTGCATCCGCCAACCAATTAACATGTCATTGATGAGGTACAGATGCCCATGAATATGGAGTGCAGAGTTCTATTTTTCTGTTCAGTCTATGGAGCCATGAATCACTAATCCCATTTAGTCTCCAAACTTGAAGGAGAAAAAGAGGGTAAGACCAACAGGAAAGTCTGGAGTGTTCTGCAGATCTATGGGTCCATTATTCCCAACACCCAAACAAACTTTAGGTTAAAGGTGCTGTGTAAACATTTACCTCTTAGATTATTCTCACTGATGGATGGTTCTAGCATTAAATCTTCCAATTATCATACTCTATTAAGAGGACAATAGTGAAGAGGAAAACCTGAGAGCAAGCAAAAAAAAAAAAACTGTAACTAATAGGTGTAATCCAACACTAGGTAAGAGAATCACCATATTTCAATAAAGCCACTGGTTGATGCATATGCAGATAAATGGAGGGGAATGGGGAGAGGAAGAGTACCTCATGTTATTTAGCAGCAGAGATCAGATTCTATAGAAAGCTACCATTCTTTGCTCATCAGTACAGTTTGAGGCTTTGGAAACACTCTCTACTGGCGGCTGCTGGGCCCAGATACTTTTCTACTGAGCTATTAGCCATAGTTTCATTTTATAAAAACCATAATAGAAAATGTGGCCAAACAGCTAGATGGAGTGTTCCCAGCAATATGGAGAAACAGTTGTGTTTATGCAGAGATTAGTCTTTCAAATTGAGAGATCTCCAAAGCTCCATTTGTACTTGAAAGGCTTGTCTTTTTGTTACCCAGTAAATAGCTCATTCATATTCTACAAAGAAAACCTTCCAAATTGGGAGAAATGGCCATATTTAACATTAGGTAGGGAAAGGGGCTGAAAAGCAGAAAGTCTACTTCCCCCTAGTACTTTGGGCAAGATTAAAGCATGTCTTCATAATTCAAAAAGGCTTTCATTTTTCTTACATAAGAGGTAGGCATTTCATGAAAGTCTGAGGAGTAGGTTTCATAAATGAAGAAATCATGCCAAATAACAAGTATTTTAAAAGCCATTTTTTGAGAAGAAATCTATGATCCTCTCTTTCATACTTGAGCACATGACTTTTAACTGCTGTATTCCACCCCACCTCCACCCAAATGGAAGGGTGTTTGTCAAGACAGTAAACTATAAAATAAATTATATTTCTACCACCCTTCTATCTCTAGATTGGCCTGGCCCGAATTCAAAGGGACCCAAGCACATTTTTTTTAAATAAATGAAATGTTCCTTGCAGCTGACACTAAGAACTCCTTCCCATCCCCACTCCCCACACAAACCAAATAAAAAAAGAGTGTGTTTAGTCTGGATCGTGGCATAGTGAATAAAACACTGTACTTCAACTCGGGAAAAAAATTTAAGATCAAATCCCACCTTAGGCACCTGCCTCAGGGTTGTTGTGAGGATCAAATGATATAATATGTACACAGCACTTTGCAAACCTCAAAAGCACTCTATAAATGCTAGCTATGAGTATTATTATATCAACTGAAATAATAGTTTCTCAGAGGATAAGCTCACAAAGGTAATATACTAACAGTGGCAATTTAGGACCTAATAATATACAAACAGTATCCTATTCAAATCTACCTGACAAAAAAAAAGCCAACACACAATGGAGCTGAATTTCCAGGGCAATCAGTAGTCTGCAACTTGCTCAATTCTTGATTTACCAGGCCCAGCCAGAACTTCTCTGGGACTTGAACCAGTTATGACTTTCCTAGATGTCGAGCCACTGAATTTGTGGAATTAGAACAATTGGACCCACTAAGAAAGGTAAAGAAATTATAAGATCGGAGATTCAAACTGGGAAGAGATTATCTAGTTCAATCCAAGTCTGAAGTGACTTACCCAAGGACCAACAGCACCCAGTTAGTAACCACTAGAGGTAGAATTTGAACCCAGGACCAGAGACAATGAGTGATCTTTCAAACTGGACCACCTTCCATTTCTTTCCTCACAGATTTTTTTCCCCTTCGCTAACCAGTAAATCCTTGCTGGGACATTCTCTTTGACTTTAGTCCTGTGCTTCAGAATTGCTCACAGAAATCTCCACACAGAAACCCTGCAGCCACCTCAAACTTAGTACTTCTAAATGAAATTCATGGTCTTCCCTCCAAATGCAGATTCCCTTCCTGACTTCCTTCATGTCTGCTAAAGGCACCCAGACTGGAAACATAAGTAATCTTTTATTCTTTTTTCCTCCCTTCCCCTCCCAAACCTCCCACTGCTACATCAAGTCACCTAGCTTGCTCCTTAGCAATGTCTCTTGAGAAGGAGGAGGAGGAGGAAGAGAAGAAGAAGAAGAAGAAGAAGAAGAAGAAGAAGAAGAAGAAGAAGAAGAAGAAGAAGAAAGAAGAAGGCCACAAGGAGCTCAGTGGAAATGGGACCTATAGAGCCATATTGGACCGAAGTGAGCCACAGTTTTATGGCTGGGAGGTGGAGCCATGAAGGTACTCCAATTCAACCAAAGAACACAAGTTTTCCAGGGAGTCCAACTTCTGTCAGCCAGAGAATTTGTGGGAGACTATACATATTGGGTGGGAAATACTCTACTATAGTATTTGATTTTCCCTTGTTACCTATTCTGTAACTATAATTCCTGTTAATCTATTAATAGAGAATGCACTAGAGTTAAGCCATATTTGCATAAATATGATTATATTAAACATCCTACATTGAGTCTAGGCTAGGGAAGGGATACAGGTTACGTGAATCTCTACTACTTGTTTGGGGTTTTTTTATGAGAAAAGTCTTAGGATCACATGAATAAGATGGATTAGAGAATAAGCATTTATTAAGTGCCAAGCACTGTGCTAAGTGCTTTTAAAAATATTACCTCATTAATCTTACAACAACCCCATGAGATAGGTGCTGTTATTATCTCCATTTTGCAGTTGAGGAAACTGAGGCAGATAGAGTTAAGTGACTTGCCTAGGCTCAACAAAGCTAGTATCTGAGGTCAGCTGGAAGAAGTATCCAGAATCAGAACTTGGACTATAACTTTTTAAGGGAAAGAACTTCTTTACAAAGCACCAAACACTCCCTTATATACAGTAAGCATTTAATACATATAATAATTATAATAAATAACTGATATTTATATCAATCTTCAACTAAAAACACAGTTGATAATAAATCAGTCTTTCCCCTTTACCCTTTTTAAACAACAATGCTGTCTCCTTTCCTCAGAGATGAAAACAAAGCATGACATATTGCCCTTTGCACAGTCCTGTCTCTGTTCTATTGTACCAAACTTGTTCCCCTATTCAAGTGGTCCTTATTGTCTCCCCCACCCTCCATCCACATAGGATCAGGTTTCCAATTCTAACTCAGTTCCTTATTGCTCTTAATGACCCTGGGAAAATCCCTTGATCTTTCTGGGCTTTAGTTCCTTCATCTATAAATTATTGTGATAACCTGAGGTCCTTTCAAGCTTTGGCTATAATCCTACTGGCAAATCTGGAGAGGTTAAACTGGTAACCCTATCTTCCATTGTTTTTGTACCCACTGGAAACAAATTCTTAGGCTGATAGAAATTAAAAGTAGAAGAGACTTTAGGAATAATCCACTCCAACAACTTCATATTACAGATGAAGAAACTGAGTCCCAGAGAAGCAAAGTAATTTAGATCACAGAGCTAGGGAGCAACAGAACCAAAACTGAAACCCATACTTCCTAACTCCAAATCCACTGTCCTTTACCCTATACTTTCTTTAACTCAGAACCAAAATTGGTACATTTCTAAGTGGGGTGTTTACCTAGGGCATACAAAACTGAAGATCAGTAATATTTATGGCCCATCAAGAAATCAGATGTCTTTAAAAGACAACTGATGAAACATATGATACCTACCAAATATGAATATTAGATTTACCTTTTTTGTGTGCATTCTTTCAGGACTCCTCCTTTGTGCTCACTGGAAACCTGAACAGTGACAGTGTGGTGTGGTGATAGTGCACTGGAGTCAGAAGACCTGAATTGTCATTCTAGGTCTTCCAAGAGCTCTTACCTTCTTCAGGAGGCCCCCAAGTTTACCTTCCATTTTCACTGTATATATCTGGTATGTACCTAGTTAATGATTTCTCCTACTAGAATTAATGATTTTCCCCATTAGAATGTGAGCTCCTTGAAGGCAGGGACTTTTTTCTTTTGGTCTTTCTTTGAATCCTCATTGCTTAGCACAGTACCTGCTAAGTGTGCTTGTTGACTGACTGACTGAAACCACCCTGGGCAATCATTTTGCCTCTAAATAGCTTAGTTTCCTTACTAGAAAAGTAAAATGGTTGTTCTTCAGTGCATAGAATCAGATCAAATAAGAAGACTAAACTTTTTGAATTATCCTTACTGTAGTTAATAAACTATGAAAGTCACCTGGAAAATATGAAACTGGGATCTCCTCCTCCCTTAAACAAGGTTACATTTATATAATAATAACAAGAATTTATAGAGCACTTTAAGATTTACAAAATGTCTTACATACCTTATCTCATTTGATCCTCATAGCAACTCTGTGAACTAAGTACTGTTATTATTATCCCCATTTTACAGATAAGGAAACTGAGACTGAGGAAAGGCAAAGTGACTACTGCACAGTCACACAACTATTAAGTGTCTGAGATATAATTCAAATTCAGGTCTTCCTGACTCCAAGTCCAGTGCTCCATTGCACCATCTAGCTGCTTCTAGCTATAAATATTATATAATCAAATAGATCAATAAATGAAGTCAGTAATCATTTATTAAGTACTTCTTATATGCCAGGCACTATATTTAGTCCTGAGAATACAAAAACAAGCAGAAAGAAAAGTCTGTCCTCAAGGAGCTTGTATTCTAATGGGGAAAGACACCATAAAAAAGGAAGCTGAAATAGCAGGGAGAGAGGTACCCCAGTGAATGCATAGCAGAGAAAGTCCAATGTCAGGAATAGAGCTTGGAGAGCAACAAAGGTTTAACTGGGTGTTTTCCTTTAAATGAAGGTTCTAGCCAATGAGAGCAAGGGGCCTGGGGGCAGTGTTTGAAATCCAGGCAGAGAGTGAACTTCCTGGATGGGGCGGCTTCTATGATGTAGTAGAGAAAGTCCAGAGGATCAGGAGTAGTGCCTGGGTGGCTTTAAAAAATATGAAGAAACATTTTTTTTTCCCCAAGCACTGATATATATGCTGAATTTTCAACTAGGATAAAGATTTCTTATTTCACTTGGGGTCAATGCACAAGGAATCCATAGAAAGACCTCAGGGGATCTATGAACTTGGATGGGGAAAAAGTATATCTTTATTTTCACTAACATCTAACTGGAATTCAGCGTTTCCTTCAATAAAAAATGTTTTCAAAACATGATTCTGTGAAAGAGTCTATCTATTAACTTCACCAGTTTGCCAAAGGGGTCCAAGACACAACCAAAATTAAGAACTCCTAAGCTAGAGTATATAGTGACAAAATGTGCCTTTGTCACCTTCTTCTTTGAACTTCACTCCAACCCTATGCTCCAAACAGGAAGCCTAGAGAGATTACATAAACGAACTATCCACAAGAGAAAGAGATGGCTTTTTCTTTCTCAGCCAAGAAAGTACATCAAAACCTCAGAGAAGATATTATCCTACTGCACTGTTGATATGGCATAGGTTTTCCTCTTAGTTACTAAATTTATTTTGAATATACAATGTTTTGAAACTGCGTGATGAATCAGCTCATTTAATTGGATCTGCCCATTTGCATATCAAAATTTATATCAAAATTATTTCCTTGGCTTCCTCTTCAACCTAAACATATTAAAACTTTTGACCTCTTATGCTGATTCTTCTCAGTTTTCCTCATCACTATTATATATGAATAATAATATACATATATATGCATACACATGTACATATGTATATGTATACACACATGTAGGTATATATGTGTATGTTTCTATACATATACATGTATGTGTGTATGTATGGTAACCTACTTGATTGCCGGATGGAGTGTGAATGACTCTGAAATTCCCACAATTTAAAAAAGTGAAGAAATTATTAATGCACATGTATTTTTCATATCTATTGTTCCATTTATAGAAAGTGGTTCTTTTTTAAAATGGCTGTTTTTTAAGAATGCAAATTTCAATTTCATCTTATTTCTTCCTGGTTTTCTTTTGTGATGAAAAATCAGTAAGACTTTTGCTACTCCACCCATAGTTCTGTACCTCTTCACCTTTACAGACACGTTTACAAAATTTTTCTTTTCCCCCAACAGATGGCATATTTTACATGTACCTCCAGAACATCTTTCTGTCACAGCCCTCTCATCTCTATAGCTCTCACTGTACAGGCATCAGTGACAAGACTGAGTCCATTGATTTTTATAAAATATGTTCTTACCACATCTCTGAAATATACAGTTCTTCCTACATGCACTAAGAGCAAAACAAATTTTAAAAAGTTTCATAAAATGGGAAAAAGTGGTGCTGTAACAGTTATTCATGTAAGTGTGCTCCATTGAAAGATGCAGACAGAGGGAGAAAAAAACAAACTCTAAGCATCAACTTGCCAAGGATTCTGAAATAAAATAAATATACAGATATACTTACTTCAAAATGCAATTGCTTTCTGCACTTTGGTGAATTTGAAAAACAAAAGAGACAACTTGTGATTTGTTCATCTTGGCTTTACACAAATTTGCTCAATTATACCTTATGCTATTAGAAGATGGAGCCAAAACAGGTAAAGCACACTGCTGTGGGAAACAGATGATAGTTCTCTCTTTCCCTCCTCCCCCCAAAAAGATAGATGTATGGGATTAACAAATTGTGGCACTTTATCACTATTGATAAACTTTGGAGGGGGCATTTTTTAAACTGTTTATTATCTATCATCCATCTATCTATCTATCCATCTATCTTATCTACTTAGAGACAGATGACAGTGATTTAATTTAAAATTTCATTTAATTTAATTTCAAAGTGATTACTATACCAACTTTTACCTTTGTATAATTGTAGTTAAACACTGTTGTCTTTCCCAGTCCTATACTCCACTTTTCCCCAGTCCTTCCCCCAGAGATTACCTTCCATTTTATTCTTTTTATATCCTAAATATCCATAGGGGTTTTTTTTGTATGTTGTATCTTGCATTAGGAATGTAAGCTCCTTGAGGGCAGGCACTGATTTTGTTTATCTTTGAATCCTCAAAGCTTTGCACAGTGCCTAGCACAGAGTAAGTAGTTAATAAATTATTGTTGACTGATACAATAAATGATATGATTGCAAAAATTTTTAATAATATTTGTTTTATTTTTGCCCTCATTTTTACCAACAAAATAATTTAAAATTATCAGGATTTTTTTTTGGTACAGAAAAGGACATTTTCATTAATAAGTATAATCTACATTGCCAAAAACACTTGTTAAGTCAGAAATATGAAGGAAATACTTACCACTAAGGGAACAGAGGATTAGGGAAAGGAGAAAAAGTATATGTACTGGGTAACATGCAATTTCTATAATTTATTTCTTTGTTCTTTTTCTTGTACACCTATTATACTCTGTAGGAAATTTTGTGATACATGGAACTGGTCTACAATGCATCTTCTATAATAGGTGATATTTTCCATTATGAGGAAAGAAGCTATTTCACTCCCTCATTCAGACTGAGGGCAAGGGCAGTGATTGGATACTTTATATAGGGCCATTACAGTTGAGATTTTTTGTTAAGAGAGACAAGAAAAAGAATTAGCTCCTTGTATTGAGATCTGATAAATAGTTTCCAGGAAGGAATGACTCAAGTTCTGGATTTTTGCTCAGAGATGACTTAGGGTCCTTCAGAGAGAAAAAGATAGTTACCACCGGGTTACAAATAAGGCAGAGCAGTTATTGAGCAGTTTCATCTCCAAAATTTTGAGTGACCTGTTAATCTCACAAAATAGAAGGTCAAAATGGTGCTTTTATCAATAAAAATAAAAGGTATGGCCATTCACACAGGCGGTTCCCATGTTTAAGTGATATGTATTTCTCTGCTTAGTTCTGATTGCCTAATACAAAACCTAGATCTTGCTTCTTGGCTGCTTGGCTTGCTCATTTATTCAGCAGTTTCTACCAGGTCCAAAGAGACAAAGGCCCCACTGACACATATGCAGACAGGCTTCTGCTTGCCAATGATGTGCTTTAAGATGTTGGCTCCAGGAATGTAGTGTGGGACTGTCCATATGTATTTGTGAATACTTAATTTGAAATGTCTGAGATTTCCCCTAAGACAAAGTCTGATGTCCTCTGCTCTAAACCTCAGCTGAAATCTTTATTCTTGCCTTCACTTGCACTAGTCCAAAGCACAAGGCGTGGGGTGGCAAAGAAAGGGAGAGAAGGCTAGAAGGAATCAGACAAACAAAACACCTTTGGAAATCACAAGTTCAGTTTATCATATATTTTTTTAAAAAAACTCTAAATGAGATTCTCAGTTTCACATATAATCCTTTCCTTCTGATATACAGCATTTGTGGAGGTGCTCTGTCTATAAAATTAGTAGAGCTGAAAAAGTGTCCTAGGACACTTTAGCTATGTCTATGGACTAGGGATGATTTTGAGGCTCCTTAGGACTTACTCTAGGTCCAGAGGAAAGAGGTAAAAGGGATCCCCAGATTTCCTTACTTCAATTTCCTTCCAGGTTATCCAGACTGGTCAAAAATAATAAGGAAAGTTTCAGGGATTCACAGTTGACATCCTTCCCCGAAAGAGAGTGGGCCCTTTTAGCTGTCGTCCCAAGTACTAGCTCTCTTAGCCATCTGTGTGCAGTGGATGTAGGCAGGAGTGTGAAGAACTCTAACAAAATGCCGTGTGACCTAGCACCATCCTGGGTGCACAGTGGAGAGACTGCTGAAGCTAAATACTTAAGTTTCATGACTTCCTATCACCTCCAGGATCAAAAACAAAATGTTCTGTTTGGCATTCAAAGCCCTTCATAACAGCCCCTTCCTACCTTTCCAGTATTCTCATACCTTATTCCCCAAAAGGTACTCTTTGATCCAGTGACACGGGCCTCCTGGTTGTTCCATGAAAAAGACACTTCATCCCTCTGCCATCTATTTTCTCTGGCTTCCCTCAAGGCCTGGAATGCTCTCCTCCTTGCCTTATCTGACTTCCTTTAAGTTCCAACAAAAATCTCATCTCCTGGAAGCTCCTAACTTCTGAGTCATG